AGGTCCAGTAGACTCTGAGGTCCAGTAGACTTTAAGGTCCAGTAGACTCTGAGGTCCAGTAGACTTTAAGGCCCAGTAGACTTTAAGGTCCAGTAGACTCTGAGGTCCAGTAGACTCTAAGGTCCAGTAGACTCTGAGGTCCAGTAGACTCTAAGGTCCAGTAGATTCTAAGGTCCAGTAGACTTTAAGGTCCAGTAGACTTTAAGGTCCAGTAGACTCTGAGGTCCAGTAGGCTCTCAGGTCCAGTAGACTTTAAGGCCCATTAGACTCTGAGGTCCAGTAGACTTTAAGGTCCAGTAGACTCTGAGGTCCAGTAGACTTTAAGGTCCAGTAGACTTTAAGGTCAAGTAGACTCTGAGGTCCAGTAGACTTTAAGGTCCAGTAGACTTTAAGGTCCAGTAGACTCTGAGGTCCAGTAGGCTCTCAGGTCCAGTAGACTTTAAGGCCCATTAGACTCTGAGGTCCAGTAGACTTTAAGGTCCAGTAGACTCTGAGGTCCAGTAGACTTTAAGGTCCAGTAGACTCTGAGGTCCAGTAGACTCTGAGGTCCAGTAGACTCTAAGGTCCAGTAGACTTTGCAGATGTATGTGTTTGTGTTTACATGTGTGTGTTCTTGCTGATTTGTGTGTATTTGTTTGTGTGCGTGTGTGTGTGTGTATTTGTTTGTGTGTGTGTATTTGTTTTTTGTGTGTTCATGTGTGTGTTTACATGTGTGTGTATTTGCTGATGTGTGTATGTTGTGTCCTCAGTGCGATCAGAACACGGGATCCGTTACGTGAAGCTGCCCTCGGCCTCCAGCGCCTCGTCCGTGCTGCGCTTCCTGGAGAACATGTGTCAACATCTGGAGAGCGACAGCCTGTTCAGCTCGCAGCCGTTCGGCTCCTTCAGCAGCAACACGCGCTTCTACAGCCGAACTAAGTCAGGTGGGCGGAGTCTCGTTTTTCACCTGGACCAGCTGTTTCAGTTCTGAGCTTCTGTCGTCTCTGACTCGTCTCGTCAAACAGAACCATCGTCTCTTCCTGAGAAACAAACGTCCAATGAAGGCTCCTCGATAGACCCCGCCCCCAGCGCCCGCCCACCTCACAACGCACCGGACTACAGAGCGTCAAAGAGGGAGCGGCCATTTTACCCAGGGCAAACGCCGCCACCGCTGCGCCGCGTCAGCTCCAACCCCACCGAGCTCGGCCCGATGAGCACGCACCGACGAGTCGAGGGTAGGGAGAGGACGACAGGCCCGGTTCTGAGTCCAGTTAGACCAGAACCGTCAGAATCCTGACAAGATCAACACGACCCGATCGGACCTGCAGGCGTGTTTTATTGACACGGTCCAGTTTTTCTTCTGTAGTTTTTTCAACACGTAACTCGTTCCACAGTTTTATGCTTCAGAACCTTCAGCTCGTTCAGAACCTTCAGCTGAGTTTCAGCTCTTTATTTCTGAGATCTTTAGCTTTTTCTGACATTTTATCTCATTGAATTTTCTTCAACCATCTTCAACCCTTTCAAAATGTTCAGAAATCTTTACTGCACTTCAGCTGTTTTGATTCTTTCTGATAATTTCAGCTTCTTTTTTTCTAATTTCAGCTGTTTTCTGCCCTGTTCAGTCAATGTTTAGCTGTTTTCAGCTAATTGTAGCTTGTTTCTGCTTAATTTAGCAAACATGCCCTTCTTTGCTTCTCTGCTAATTTATCTTTTTTAGCTACTTTCATGACTTTTTTCTTCTAAATTCAGCTGTTTTCTGCCTCTTCAGCTGCTGTTTTGCTATTTTAAGCTAATTTTATCTTTTCCAACTGAATTTCTTTTTGTGATAATTTCACTTTGTTGCTGTTTCATACAGCAAACACTTTCTGCTTCTTTGTGCTAATTTGAGCTCTTTTGGCTACTTTTTCAGCCTTTTCTGCTAATTTTATCTGTTTTAGCTATTTTACAAAAAAATTCCAACTACCTCTTTTCTTACTTTTCTGCTACTTGGTTAAATATTTTTGTTAATATTTACTATTTTCAGCTCATTTTAGCTACATCTTCATTTTCATTTTCAGCTTTTATGACACACTTTTGTTTTTGTTTTGTTCTCAGAATTTTTTAACTTTTTTACTTTCAGCAAAACTCAACTGTACAAATTTAACTCACGTTCACAGTTTAGCTATTAAACATTTTCAGCTTGATTTCAGCTTCTTCAGCAGCTTTCAGCAGAATGTTCCAGCATTAAGTGTTCGCTCTGTGTTTTCACATGAAATACAGTTTTTTTTCTAGTTTAAAATAAAACCACACCTGAGTTTGATTCAGTTTCTTTCTGTTGTTTTGATATTTTTTTTCCAGCAGCCAGCTCAACAACCGGTCCGGATCAGATGAAACAGGACAAAGAGGGTTCAGGAAACGGCGCCACTTCCTGGTCGGTCGATGATGTCATACGGTTCGTCCAGGAAGCAGATCCTCAAACCCTCGGCCCGCACGTCGACCTGTTCAGGAAACACGTGAGTTTTGAATGCTCACTTTTTAAAAAACTTGTTTTCCCGGTTCATTGCTCTGATTTTATTTTGACGGTCCAACAGGAAATAGACGGCAGGGCGCTGATGTTGCTGCGGAGCGATGTCATCATGAAGTACATGGGCCTGAAGCTGGGCCCGGCTCTGAAACTGTGTCACCACATCGAGAAGCTGCGACAGAACAAACACTGACAGAACCGTGTTCTCCGGTACTTTCTTAGAACCCAGGTTTTAGGGTTCTGTAAAGGTTCTTTAAAGGTTCTGTAAAGGTTCTGTAAAGGTTCTGAAGCTCATTCAGGCCTTTAGGTTTGGGTCAATTTGTAGAAAAGCGATAAAACAATGAGATGAAAAAAGTAAATACCAAATTAAAGACTTGGAAACACATTTCTTAAGTTTTAGTTTCGTATCCCAGTCGGGTCAGAATGAAACGGGTACAGGAGGTCAGACTGATCCCATCAGCACAGGTGGGTTTTCTTCAGGTTCTGACAGAACAGGTGTCGTTTGGATCCAGGCAATAATGACTTAAACCTCGGGATTGTTTTCAGCGTCGCTTTAGAGACGTCTGAGAGGCGGAGCATGTAGCTAACTGAGCAACAGGAGGCGGAGCTTGTAGCTAACTGAGCAACAGGAGGCGGAGCTTGTAGCTAACTGAGCAACAGGAGGCGGAGCTTGTAGCTAACTGAGCAACAGGAGGCGGAGCTTGTAGC